GGCCATGGGGAGCGCCTCATGCAACATCATTCCCTGATGAACTGATCTCATCAAGGGACGTTTCCACAGCCACCACATACCCTGGAGATTCCACTCAGCTGCTTCTGTCTGCCTAATTGGTACTTAGGTTCTACAGGCCAGGGCTGCCTTGAGCCCGGCCCTGGTGTCTCCAGCATTCTGTAACGCTCACACTCTCCTATCTCTAAGGGCCAAAACATTTGTATATTTTGATCAACTAACAATTCATTTTCACAAAATTAAAGGCTACACACAGGTTTAACAGAGTTATGTGGCAAGATCTTCAGCCAGAGAAGCCCCTCTGGCATCCCACGGGGACCCCCAATCCACTGATGCTCCCCTCTTGTCACTAGCTGTCACCTCCTCGCCTGGCTTAGATTCTGGAGCCAACCATTATTTTCACTCCCTTGCATACGCCATCAGCCCCATGTCTGCATCTTCACTTTGCAAACCCACTGCCCTGGCTCCCTTTCCACCTACTCTGCCCTTGCAGCCATGCAGCAAAACGTGGCTGGAGAAAAACGCACATGACTGTGCTCACTGGTCCCACTCATTCCCCATAGTACTTATCGCCTGCTCATGTGCTGGATATTTTGCTTGTTTATTATACTAACGGTTTATCAACGTTAAATTATATGTCCATTCCAGGAGGGCATGGAACTTTGTCTCTTTAATTCAAGCACTGGGCACAGGGCCTGGCACACAGTAGGTGCTCACTAAATATACTGGTGAACGGTGTACCCTCCAATGTGTGGACAGGGCACAATCTGTGTAAGGCAGTGCAGCTGACAGTAATGACTGGGCAGGTCTGCCTGCAGTCCTGGGATGGATTAGTCCTCTTTTCTTAATAACAGCTAACCTGTTCCAATGTCCTCTGGCCACCTTAGCCAAAAGTTAGTTATGATACAGCCCCACATCTATGAAGTCTATATTTTAACTATCGCTCTACCTCCCGGCTTCTTGCATGGCCACGCTCCACCCTACCCATCTCCGTGTCTCCCTGGATCTACTCGGTCTCCTGGCTTCCAGACTCGCCTGCTAGAATCCATTCCACCCACAACATACACCCACGGCCCCAGGGGGCCCCCTGCAAGGTGACCAGTACTGTTCCCCTGCTTACGGTGCGTCGATAGCTTCTTAGTACCTGACAGCAGTTAGGGAGTTGGACAGTCTTCAGAACACAGACTCAGACACCAAGCAAGGCTTTCAGTTATTGATACTTTCTAGTCCTTTTGCTGAACGAGGGAGAAGGTCTCTGTTTCCGGGATCGCATCTCCGACACCTGAAGCACTTCCCCATCCCCACGTCTGACAGAAGGAACTAGCCTCGGGGTCTAACACGCAGCATTTACGGAGTCTGCACATGTGGCTATTTAACTCAAAATGTGAATTCATTCAGACTATATGAAATAAAAAATTCTGTTCCTCAGTCACCCTAGCCACATTTTAGGTACTCCATAGGCACACGTGACTGGAAGCTACCATACCACACAGTGCAAAGAGAGAACTTTTCCAGCATCACAGAAAGTTCTACTGGACAGGGCTGAAGATGGACTTTATTCCCCCCCCCCCTTTTTTTTTCACGGCATTTATCTCTATAGCTATCTCCTATTTATGGTATGTGATACATTTCACTTTCATTTATGGTAGTAAAATTCAAGTCCCTTTCAAAATGCATTTATTTAGGCAAAATTAAAGCTACTTGATTTAAAGAAAATTAATACAAATTAGAAAAAAGATTGGAAAAGTAAATGAAAGAACGCACGGTGTACAGATGCAAAGGAGGTTTGCAAATGATCGATGTTTGGAGATCGTGGTCCCCAGGAGTAAGTCCCCCACTGACACCATCAGCCAGGCCCGCTGCAGCTGTCCTGGCCACCTCCCACCTTCCTGCCTCATCACGTCACCCTCGCGCACCCTGGGCCCTTCGGTAGCCTCCTCAAGCCACTGGGAGCATCCTAACCCTGCCTCCTTCTCAGTCCTCCCTGGTAGCCCAGGCACAGTGTGTAGACCTGAGTTACAGCAAGGATGGCACCGCTGGTACCACCCAGGTCAGGGCTGGGTCTCCCAGCAGTGCATGAGGCCCTTAAGAAAGAAGCTGAGCTTCTTTTATTTGTCCCTGTGTCCCCGGGGCTCAGCATGGAGCCTGGGACAGAAGAGAAATTGATGGTTAAACGAACGAAATTAAACAATCCCTTAAACAGCTGCAGGGCTTTGCAATTTTTAAAGGGCCTCAGCATTCACGGTGTCACTGAATCCTTATAATAGCCCAGGGAGATAAATTGGTCAGGGCTTACGGGACCCACCATAGTCCTAGGATAAGGAAACCCAGGCTCCAGGAGGGTGGGTGCCGCTGTCCCAACGCTGCAGCCCGAGGGCAAGGCAAGAAGCACTGGGCCAGGCCACGGGACTCTGTCATTGACAGGGGGACTTTGGGCCAAGTCCCGGTCTCCCCAAGGCTGCATCGCCTCATCCATAAAGTTGGGTGATGATAACATTGCCACTGATTGGCGGCTTTCATGCCACTGTGAGCGCCAAGTGAGATTGTGAGTGGCAAGCTGCTCTCTAAGCTGTAGAGTGCTGTGCAGGAAGCTGAGGACGGCTAGCCGCAGTCCCGTGAGTCCCACGCCTGCCCCGTTTGCAGACCTGGAGTTCCTGTGTGACTCCTCATTTTATTCTGCTGGGAAGCAGGTCAGCACCTCAGACTTGGCAGTGGAGGTCTGTCTGTGCCGCCCACCACGAGGGGCCCCCAGCTCCTGGAACAGAGCTTCTCCCAAGGAGACCACCCTTCCCAGATTCAGACACTGCTGGAGGTGGCTGACCCCTCCGGCACCAGGGAGGGTCCTGGCCAACCAGAGCATTGCACCCCCCACAGAAATGGGCTCAGGGGTGCCCCTGAGGCCCAGGCAGGGCCCACGGGGTGCCACCTGGGGACTTGGTGGGACAGTTCAGAGACAGCGGGGTCTGTTTTCTCCTGGACTTTACTCTGGGAGGGCGGGGCCTGAACTGCTGGTGTCAACTCACCACCACCATGTGGAGGCTGAAGCCAGAGCAGAGATCAGAAGCAAGAAGCAGAGAGAGCCATCCCAGGACACTGTCTGAGCCCCTGGATCCATCTGTATCTGCAGCTCTCTTGGTTCCATAAGTCAGTACACGTCTGACTTTGCATGAGCCAGCTGGAGAGGGGCGTTCTGACCCCTGACTAGCTGGTGTCTAAGCACCAGCGACAGGGGTGGGACCTGCTGGCGTCTGTGCCTGAATGGAGGGTCCAGCAGAGGACCAGCCCAGCCCGGCCCTCTCCATGCAGCCAGACTGAGCTCCCACCCCTCAGAGCAGCTCCAGCCCCAGCTCCTCCTGGAACCTTCGACCAGCCCAATCCACTTCTGCCTTCCAGGCCCTGCGCACTAAGGAGGGAGGGAGGAAACAGATGCTAATGTCTCCTGACACGTTTTAAGCACCGGTTTGGTGTTGGGTGTCTCACAGGGGCTCGCTGAACGCTGCCATCCTATGGAGGAACGGTTAGTGAGGAGACCGAGGCTCAGGAGGGGTGCAGTGACTCGCCAAGGTCACAGAGCTTAATGTGGCAGAAGCAGACTCCCAGAGACTCCCAGTGGCTCCTCCGAAGCCCAGGCGTTTGCCCCGCCCCCTCTTGCTGGGCTCAGGGAACATCAGATGCTTGCTCTCAGCCCTCCTAGCTCCGAGGTCTCCCTGCCCTGTGGTCTCTGGCCAGTTTCTGGCTCTCGGCCCCCCAGAAGCCGTTTGTCACTCCTTCTCTCCTCTAACCCAACCCCCAGCCCCCCGCAACTGCTCCCTTCTCTGCCCCACTCCCTCCCCCCCAGTTCTGGCTTCTGCTCCAAGGGACACAGCCCGATCCTGACCTGTGAGAGGGCAGCACAGCAGGCATGACCCCCTGTGTTGGGAGCTTCTTGTGGCAGGAGCTGTATGGTCTCAGCTCTGGGTGTCCAGGGCCACCCGGCACCCAGCACCAAGTGGACAGTCAGAGGCATCTCTTGGGGGGTGGGGTCATCCCACCTTCTTCCACCCCACGTCTGGGCAGCATCCTTCAGTTGGGTGGAAAGGCTAGAAATGAGGACTTGGGGCTGGAGGGCCTGGGTTTGAACCCAGCTTTCCACTGGCTGCTGTGAGCTTTAAGCAAGTTAGCCCGGGCTCTCTGTGACTCAGTTTCCTCGTCGTAAAGAACCTACCTCCCCGAATTACTGTGAGGATGAATCGAGTTCACATTAACACGTGTTTATCAGGCACAGAGCCTCACTGGGCATTATTACTATTATTACTGTTGTTGTTATTGTTATTTGTCTGTAGAGTAGTGACACCTGTAGGTAGTAACCTGCCTGCTCTGTCCTCTGTAGCCCTCATTGGGCCCAGCCTCAGCCTGGGCCCCTCTTCAGGCCCATGTTCTTTCTTCACCAGTCAGTGGGGGCTGGAGTCAATCCTATAATCCTATTGCCCAGACACATGGGGCCACCAAGCAGGGCTGCCTACCTTGACCCCATCCAGCTGGGCTTATGACACCCCAGTTGTCCCTCTAAGCCCTGGGCGGGACCCCACGGTTGTTCATCAAACACTGATGCACCTGCCTCAGACCCAGGGAGGAAGGTCCAGAGAAGCCTTCAGTCGACTGTCTCAGGGTGGTCGGCCACCCCTTGCCCAGGAGGGCTGACCTGGGACTCCATCCCCTCCATGGTCCCCAGTGAGGCCCCCAGATGACGGGATGATGGCCACCCTGGAGGAGGCGAGGGGTCAAATGTAACCCTCAGCGGCCACGGTTGTAAAGTTTTCATAAACTCATCATGATTCCAAACCTCGGCCTCATTCACACACTGTGAGCCAGGAGGCACCCCGCTGAAGAGCCTGAACAAAGCAGCTCCCAAGCCAGCTGGCTTACAGCAGGCCAACTGACGTCCCACCCGGGAGCCACCCGGCCCGCGGCGTCAACGGTGGGGCCGCGGCAGGAAAGGATACTGAAGCTCCGGTCGGTGATGGCCAGGTGCCAGAGGTTGATGCGCAGGTCGTCCGCGGACATGTACGTCTCGCAGTCGCTGTTGACGGAGATGGAGTTGATGTGGTAGGTGTGGCCATTGGCGAAGACCCTCCGGGGGCTCACCTCCACCATCAGATCCATAGGCTTCAGCACGGGCACCTGAGGAGGAGGAGGGGCGGTCAGAGCAGGGGGAGAGGTGATGGGGGAGGGGTGCTGGCAGGAAACGTCCAGGGCCACGTGATCAAAAGGAGAGGCCAGGAGAGGCCTGGAGCGCGCCAATGGGTGTCCATCCTGCCCGTGTCAGTAGTAAGCAATGCCACATGGCCATGTCCATTGGCACCAGCCCTGCAGGGAAGCCTGCCTCCTTTGCTTGGCCTCCTGGGATTGGTTCTGAACCTGCTGCGTGACTTTGAATGAGTGGCTGAACCCCTCTGCACCCCAATTTCCTCACTTCTAAAATGGAAGGAGAAGGTACTGTGGCAGAGCCAGATTTTCCACCAAACATTTGTGTCCCCTTGTCACGGGGAAGTGGCTGCCCAGGCAGGGACTACATTTCCCAGCTGCCCTTGCAGCTGGGTGTGGCCACATGACTGTTCTGACCAATGGGGTGTGAGCACACTGACGCCGGGCACTTGGGGGCCAAGGCTTAACGGTTAAGAGGCAGCTGTGCCTTCTCCGCCTCCTTCCCTTTCCACAGCCAGAAGGTGAGGATCCAGGCTTTAGGGATGGAGGCACATGGGATGGAAAGAGCCTGTATCCCTGCAGGAGAGCCGTGTGCCATCCAGGATGCCTATACCGGAGCTTTCCCTGAGTGAGAAATACATTTCTGTGTACTCTGCCCTGGGACTGTTACAGCCGCTGGTGTTAGCGGAACACGTACAAACTCCCAGAGACAGTGTCAGATAGCATGGCTTTGCTTCTCTCTGCACCCTCTGCCTGGAATGCTCACCCCCTTTGGACACCTAGTGAACCCCAACTCCTCCTGCAAGATCTGGAGTTAACAGCCCTTTGGATGTACAGCCTGCCACACCCCTGCTCACCCCCAGCACGCTGCACACACTGCTATCAGGGCTCTCGGTGTGCACTGCGGGGTGTTTTGGGCACGACTCTCCGTTCCAGTAAACTGTAAGGTCTTCAAAGGTACAGACAGACAGACACGGCCTCACTGATCTCTCCCTGGCCCAGCCCCAGAACATGAGGGCTGGCATTGCCATCCCCATGTGACCGATGAAGAGACTGGATGCCAAGATGAACTGGGCTTCCTAAGTCACAGAGGCAGGAAATGACAGAGCCAGGACCAGAAGCCAGGTGTGACTGCCCCCGGGGCATCACGGCGCAAAGATGTAGACCTGAAACCTGACTCGGCTTCAACCCTGCCGGGCCGCCTACTAGTGTTACCTCCATTGCGGCCTTCACCTCTCTGGGCCTCAGTTTCCTTATCTGTACACTGGGTAATGCTGGTGCCTGCTCAGGGCTTCTGTGAGGATTCCATGAGTTGATGCAGGTCAAGTGCGCCTGGAATATCACTCGGTCCACAGTGCCCTCCTCCCGCTCCTCAGGAGGTGACTAGGGGTGGCTGAGCCAGGGCTTACACAGCCACAGTTTCCAGAGTGGGCCTGGACGGGGGTGGCGGGGAGGGGGGTGCTGCAGGGGCAGTGGGAATTGTGCCCAGGAGAGAGGCAGCAAGGCCATCCTCGGAGTGAGGAACAGAGCAGATTCCAGTGAAGGGGGATGCAGACCTTTGTCAGCTAACTGCAGGGCTCCTGAGCCCCGGGCAGCAAGCACCAGGTAGAATGGCATGAGTCCAATCAGAACTGGGTGGCAGCAGGTGATGGGGGACCCACTGCTTGCACTCACGTGGGAGAGAAGACAATAGGCTGATACACGTGTGTGTGTGTGTGTGTGCTTTCAGGAAGCAGTAGGTGCTCTAAAGAAAAATAAAACAGGTGAGGGGACAGAGTGACAGGGCAGCAGGGGCTGGTGCCTGGCTGGAAGGGTGACCAGGAGGTGACATATGGGGAGGGGCTGAAACAGGCTGACGTGGGACCCTAGGGAATCTCATTCTCCCAGGGGACCTCCTCCAAACCCACCTACTCTTAGGTTGGGCCTGGGGCTCCCTGGGGCTCCCAAGGCCCTGTAATCCCTCGTTATGGCCTTGACCACGTGGTAAGTTGTTGTCTTCTTTTTTGTTTCCTCAATGGACTGGGCAGCACTTAGGGGCGCTGTGTGTCTTCTTGTGTTCATCTCTGTATCTCTGGTACTCAGCCCAGGGCCCAGCACAGACAGGTCTTCAGGTGAATGAGTGAATGGGTGAGTCAATGAACAAATGAGCTATGTCCCTCCCTGGGGGACAGCTGAGATGGGAGGTGACAGCTTGGGTGCTGCAGTCGGGGTGGGCAAGCACTAAGCGTTCCTTTTGGTACAAGGCAGCTCTGCAGCCTCTGTGAGATGTTCTCATGTACCAGGGTGCCCAGTGTGAGCCTGTGTGGGTGTGTGAGCCTGGGTGTGCATGCATGAGTGTGTCAGTGTGCACATGCATGTGCCTGAGTGTGCACGTGTGTGTATGCAGTATCGGTGTGCATGCCCACCTGGCTCTGGGTGGTTCTTGTGTTGAGTCTGTGCTTCGGGACTGTCTGCCCGCATGTCAGTGTTGGTGCGTCTGGGCCCCTCTATGGGGCCTTCCGCATGTCCGCCGGTGTCAGATATTCTACGTCAGCTCCGAATCTTGCCTTCCCTTCCCTCAGGGCGTGGCCACCACCTGCCCTGGGGATCCCTGGAATCTCTCTCAAGCCACACCTGCTCCTGGAGAAGGTGAGGGTATCCCTGGCCTAGCAAAGTCTCAGCATCTCAGTCTGATCCCCCCTCCTTCCGGCAACGTTGTTTTCCCCTGGCAGCCTTGGAACTGTTCACCCAGTGCTCCAGCCATGCACCGCCATCCCCAGACCATATTTCAAAGCCAGAAAGCAAAAAGAGGAGAGGAAGAGGGAAGAGAAACCTGCCCTGAAGGTTTGGAGGTTTCACGAATAAAACTTTCCCCGCACCCACGCCGTGAACACTAAGGACAGAGCAGTGTGGGATGCAAAAGGCTAGAGGGGACAGAGAAGGATAAGGATTCATCTGGCTCGTGTAGGAAAGACTTTCAGAGGTGGAGGCTAATAGGGTTTTAAAGGATGAATAGGAGTTCACCAAATAAAGTAGAGAAAGGCATTCC